ACAAATGAAACTTAGAGTCCTATTAGAGGCATAATTGTATTAGAGTCATGATAGTATTGTATTTGTATTTCCTTTTTGGTTTAGGAGTTAGGGCTATATATATTAGAAGGTCTGATTGTAATCGATACACATTGAATATATGAGATACAGAAAGCTATTCAGAAATCTTACATGGTATCAGAGCCGTGTTCGAAAACCTAAGGTCGCGACCAGTCTTCGTGAACCCTGGCACCGTCGTCTCTCTCAGTCATCGTCGCCTCTCTCAGCCGTCACCTCTCACGCCGTCGTTTCTCTCAGTCTGCTTCAGCATCGCGATTGATTCGCGATCTATCTCCCTCTCTGGTTCTCTCTGGTTCTGCTAATCGACCACACCTCGTGGTTTGTTGGTCTGTGAGAATATATTGTGAAATATATTGTGAGTCTTACAAATGAAACTTAGAGTCCTATTAGAGGCATGATTGTATTAGAGTCATGATATTATTGTATTTGTATTTCCTTTTTGGTTTAGGAGTTAGGGCCATATATATTCTAAGGTATGATTGAAATTGATACAATTGAATATACAGAAAAGCTTTCAGAAATCTTACATGGTATCAGAGCCACCACCAGAACCCTAGAAATTGTCTTCCTCTTCAGTCTCTGTGTGAGTTGTGGGTCATCTTCTCCCTTGATCAAATCTGGTTCTCGAAGTTTTGCTGGGTGTTCATGACACTTGAGTCGCAGATTGTTGAGCACTAGAATCGCGATTGGTATTCGCGAAGTTCTCTCTCTCTGGTCGTGTTCACCAAGTTCAAAGCTTTCTGATCAAAGTTCTCTAATCGATCGAAGTTCTCTTGGCTCTTGCATGACCTTCGTTCGAGTTCTCATTGTACCAGATCTGTTATCGCCGGAATCGCGACCATTCAGGGCTGGAATCACAACTCATCTGGTTCGCAACTCCTCTCGCTGACACGACCTCCCTCCTCCTTGACTTCGGCTTCAATCTCTCTCTCTCTTCTCTGATTTGGTTCTCTCGACTTCAGACTAGTTCTTCGGCTTCAAAACTCTAGTTAATATTTGTGGGTTAGGGTAAAAAAAAAAAAAAAATTATCTTACATTCAGACCTAACACTCTTCTGATTATTACACTATGGTTTTGGATTTATTAGCTTTACCCCCATCAGATTTCTGTGTATTACCCTTCAACCCCTGGTTTGGCTATTTTGTTGAATATAGGGTTTATCACACTTGAACCCCTTAGTTTTCTAGTTATTATGATGTCTCTGGCTTCGGATGAATGTGCCTACTGCCATCAAAGAGGTCATTGGAAGTATCATTGTCCCAAAAAGGGATGTTTGTCTGCTTTGTCTGTGTTTGCCTCGTCTTCTCAGCAATTGCCGATTAAGTTCTGCGCTCCTCCTCTGAGTACCATTCGGCCTCCCACCGATTCTACTATATTTGCTCCGGCTCCTGATCCTGACTTAGCTTCCTTGACTGCTCAGATTAGTCAGTTTCAACATACATTATGTACCTCCTAGCCATATATGTCTGCCTCCATTGTTTCCCCTCTTCATTCAGGTTTGCTTGGGTCTTCTTCAGGTATTTCTTCGTCTGTCTGGCTTTTTGACTCTAGTGCCTCTCATCATATGACTCCCCATCTCTCCTTACTTCAAAATTGCACTCCTCCTCCTTTTCCTATTACTGTCAATGCTACTAATGGGTCTGGTATGTCTCTTATATCTGTTGAGTCTGTCTTACAGTCTGCTGTCTCTATTCCATCTGTTCTTTATGTTCCTAAATTATCTGTCAGTTTATTATCTATCAGTCAACTTGACGCCTCTGGTTTTGATGTTATCTTTTCCTCTTCTATCTGTTTTGTGCAGGATCAGATGTCTAAACAGCAAATTGGGACTGGTCGTAGAGTTGGGGACCTCTATGTGGTAGAGAGCTTGCATCTACCTTTAACAACCTCTCCGACTGCCTTTTCCTCTTTTCAGTTAGATTCTCTATCCAGTCCTTTCTACTTGTGGCATTCTAGATTAGGGCATTTGTCTGCTGACCGCTTACGGTCTTTGGCTCAATCAGGTATCTTGGGAAAATTTTCTCCTAGTGAACTTACTGAATGTCAGGGGTATAAACTCGCCAAGATGACAGCCTTACCTTTTCGTAAAAGCACTTCTATATCTGATATACCATATTCTTTAGTTCATACTGATGTTTGGGGCCCTTCTCCTGTTCTCACCAAAGGGGATTCTGCATGCTATGTGCCATTTGTTGATGACCGCACCTGTTACATTTGGGTTTATCTTATGACTCATAAGTCCGATTTTTATCTGTTAAAACCTATCACCTACTTCACCCACTTAAACCTACTCCACTAAACCTAACCCACTACACCACTACCACCTCACCTACTCCACTAAACCTAACCCACTACACCACTACCACCTCCACTTCACCTACTCCTTACCTACTACACACTCACCCTCTTCTATATATAGGAATCATGAATCATTGTAATAAAATCAACATATGTATCAATAAACATCAATCAATAATACATAAATTTTTACATTATCAGATATACCGTACCTTTCAGTCTATGATTACTACACAGTTTGGGTCTACTATTAAAGTGTTACGGTCTGACTTGGGTGGGGAATATTTTAAAACTAAGTTTTGTGAGTATTTGGCCTTTTTGGGTACCATTCACCAAACTTCCTGTACAGGTACACCTGCCCAAAATGGTCACGCTGAGCGTAAACACCGTCATCTCCTTGAGACAGCTAGGTCTCTTCTTCTCTCTGCCTCAGTTCCGACTCCATTCTGGGGGGAGGCAGTTCTTACTGCTGCTTTTCTTTTCAATCGCATGCCTACTCCCATTCTTTCTGGTCGGTCTCCTTATGAGGCTTTATTCTCCCAACTTCCTAACTACTCCCTCCTTCGTATGTTTGGGTCTGCCTGTTTTGTCCTTCTTCCCCGCAAAGATAGGACCAAACTTAGTGCTCGGTCTGTCCTCTGTGTCTTTTTAGGTTATAGTCCTACTTAGAAAGGCTATCGGTATTACGACCCTATTTCCCGTCGTCTTTATGTCTCCCGTCATGTTTCTTTTCTCGAACGTCTGCCTTACTTTCAACTTCCTCCTGTCACTGCTCCAGTTTTCAAAGAGGATTTGGTTCACATTAACCCATTTCCTTATGAGGTACCGTCTGATGAGTACATCTCCATAGTTCCTTATGAGCTTGTTTCATCTTCTCCTCCTGCTTCACCTCTGGCTACTTCTCATCCTTCAGTTTGTTCTCCTCCTCCGTTGTTAGTTTATTCTCGTCGCAAGGCTCCTCCCCCACCAGTTGTCTATACCCCTACTGCTGCCGACTCTGATCCTGCTACACACCGATATCCTACTCGAGCGCGTCATCCTCCAAACAGGTTAGGTTGGTCTAATACATGTTTTTCTGCTTCCTATCGTACTTTTTTGTCTGCTATTCACTCTTTTTCAAAACCTCAGTCTTACAAAGAGGCATGTCAGGACCCTCATTGGGTTCACGCTATGGACGATGAGTTGTCTGCTCTACAGAAAATTAGTACTTGGGAGCTAGTTCCTTTGCCTGCTGGTAAGAACTTGGTTGGTTGCAAATGGGTCTACAAAGTCAAGATTCATTCTGATGGGTCTCTTGAGCGCTACAAAGCTCGTCTGGTTGCCCAAGGTTTCTCTCAGGAGTATGGTATTGATTATGAGGAAACATTTGCTCCTGTTGCCAAGATGACTACTGTCCGTACTTTGATCTCTATCGTTGTTATTCGTTCTTGGCCTCTTTATCAGATGGATGTTAAGAATGCTTTTCTTAATGGCCATCTGACTGAGGAGGTTTACATGCGTCCTCCTTCTGGTCTTCTCCATTCCTCTGGCCAAGTTTGTCATCTTCGGCGTACTCTGTATGGTCTGAAGTAGTCTCCTCGTGCTTGGTATGATCGCTTTCAGACTGCTATTACCGAGCTTGGGTTTCATTGTTCTGTTTCCGACTCTGCTTTATTTCTGAGACATACATCGGCTGGTTTTGTTGCTCTCTTACTCTATGTGGATGATATGATCATTATTGCCTCTGACTCTTCTGCTATCTCTGAGGTCAAGCAGCATCTCTTCCGTACCTTCGAAATGAAAGATCTGGGTCCATTACGGTATTTTCTTGGTATTGAGGTTGCTTATTCTCCAAAGGATTATTTTCTGTCTCAGGCTAAGTATGCTAATGAAGTCATTCACCGTGCTGGTCTTACCGATACTAAGATTTCTGATACAACTATTGAGCTTAATGTGAAACTTAATTCTACTGATGGTGTCCCTCTGGATGATCCTACTTTATATCGCGAGCTTGTGGGTGACAGTCACTCGCCCTGATCTTGCTTATGTCGTTCATGTGGTTAGTCAGTTCGTTTCTGCTCCTCGCTCTACCCATTGGGCTGCTTTGGTTCGCCTTCTTCGCTATCTCAGGGGTACCATATTTCAAGGCTTACTATTGTCCTCTACTTCCTCTTTGGACCTGGTGGCCTATGCTGACTCTGATTGGGCTGGTGATGTTACTGATCGCAAGTCTACGTCTGGTTTCTGTATGTTTCTTGGTGATTCCTTGATCTCTTGGAAAAGTAAGAAACAATCAGTCGTTGCCCGCTCTACTGCCGAAGCTGAGTATCGTGCTATGGCTCATGCCGCTGCTGAGATTATTTGGCTTCGTTGTCTTTTGTTTGATTTGGGCGTTTCTCAGTCTTCTCCGACCTCTCTCTATTGTGACAACCGCAGTGCTGTTCAGATTTCCCACAATACTGTCTTCCATGAGCGGACAAAACACATTGAGATTGTCTGTCACTTTGTTCGCCAACATTTGCAATCTGCCTCTATGTCGCTTCCTTTCATCCCTTCAGCTTTGCAACTTGCGGACTTCTTCACCAAGACTCACACTACTGCTCGGTTTCAGTTTCTTCTTAACAAACTCTCCGTGTTTTCTACTAAAACACTTTGAGTTTGAGCGGGGGTGTGAGAATATATTGTGAAATATATTGTGAGTCTTACAAATGAAACTTAGAGTCCTATTAGAGGCATAATTGTATTAGAGTCATGATAGTATTGTATTTGTATTTCCTTTTTGGTTTAGGAGTTAGGGCTATATATATTCCAAGGTCTGATTGCAATTGATACAATTGAATATACAGAAAAGCTTTCAGGAATCTTACAATCTCATCATCCCCAAGTCCCAATCTCATTTCAGCCAATATCATCCTCTGTTCCCAAGTTTTCATTCCTCCTACAATGCAAGGCTGAATGGGTTCAAAATCCAATCTGCTTCACATCTACTTCTTACCAATGATGGCCCATGGCCACATGATACCGCTCGTGGACATGGCCAGACAATTTGCTCGGCATGGTTCAAAGGTAACCATAATTCTGACACCCGGCAATGCAACTCTCTTCTCCAAAACAATCGAGAGGGACAGAGAACTTGGCCTTCAAACTAATATTCGTCTAATTGTCTTCCCTTCTGCAGAAGTCGGGTTGCCAGAAGGATGTGAGAACTTAAGTTCCACTACTTCTCAGGAAATGTCCCTAAAAATTCACAAGGCCGGCGAGCTGCTTCAACAACCATTTGAACAGCTCTTGGAAGAAGATCGCCCTGATTGCCTTGTGGCTGATGTGTTCATCCCATGGGCTACTGATGTTGCAACCAAGGTTGGGATTCCAAGGCTGGCTTTCCATGGAACTAATGCATTTTCTCTCTGTGTTCATCACGTCTTACACAATCAAGAACCTCACAAAAACATTGAATCCAACACGGAATCCTTCATTGTGCCTAACCTTCCAGACACAATAAAGTTGACAAAACTACAACTTCTGGATCCCACAAGAAGCGGAACTGAAAGCCATTTTGCCAAGATGGTTGGAAAACTTATGAAAGCAGAGAGGACAAGTTACGGAATAGTTATAAACAGCTTCCACGAGCTAGAACCAGCATATTCAGAATACTACAGGAAGGTCGTAGGACGACGGGCATGGCATATTGGTCCGGTCTCACTCTGCAACAGAGATGATGAAGATAAAGCTTGTAGAGGAAACCAAACCTCTATCGATGAACATGAGTGCTTGACTTGGCTTGCCTCAAAGAAGCCCAACTCAGTTCTATATGTGTGCTTTGGAAGCTTGTCCAACTTTTCGACTGCTCAGCTACGTGAGATAGCAATGGGTCTAGAAGCTTCTGGACAACAATTTATTTGGGTGGTAAGGAAGGAGAAAACAAAGGAAGAGTGGTTGCCGGAAGGATTTGAGAAGCAGTTGGAGGGGAGAGGATTAATAATATGGGGTTGGGCCCCACAAGTGCTAATACTCGATCATGAAGCAATTGGAGGGTTTATGACTCACTGTGGATGGAACTCGGTGCTGGAGGGATTGACAGCTGGAGTGCCACTGATCACCTGGCCACTCTTTGCTGAGCAATTTTCCAATGAAAAGCTGGTGTCTGATATTCTGAAGGTAGGAGTTGCAGTAGGTGCTCAGGAATGGTGTCAATGGCCAGATGATACTAAGATCTATGTAAAGAGGGACGATATAGAGAAGGCAGCGGCTCAACTAATGGTTGGTGAAGAAGCTGAGGAAATGAGGAGCCGAGCACATGCACAGGGAGATATGGCAAAGAAGGCTGTTGCAAAGGGTGGATCATCGTACTCTGATTTGAGTGCTTTAATAGAAGAAATGAAGTTGAATTGCCACTGAGACAAGTTACTAGATCTTTGGCCCTTTCAAAGGCTTGTATCTGTTCACGTATATTTACAATAATCTTGTTCATATATTGTTATTATTTTTGCTATGAAAAATCAGAACATAACACCTGCTCAAATCCCACCCCTTTACCACTTGAGCCAAGGTTCGATAAATTAAAATACTACTTACAATTAGTGAGAGCAAGGGTTAAAAAATGAACTAATTCAAAACAAAACACCACCACAGATAACCAAACCAAACCGAAGGGGAAAAAAATAAACTTCTCCAGAGATGCTTAAGAACACCTCATTGAAAACCCAAATAATAATAGAAAAGAAGCAGATGAGGAAGGAAAAGGCAACAGCCAAGCAATGATCCAATCCACAATGTAAGGAAATACAGATTGCAAGAAAATGTGGGAAAACCTTTTTCATAAGCTATGATTTCTTATATGCATTAAAGTTCCTCATCTTTCTCACTTCCATAACAAACCAACCATTGACCTCAAAAACAAATGTTAAAAGGAGGATATATGAGGAGTCATATAAATAGTTGTTGCGTACAGGAACTCAATTCTTTTATGAGTAGCCCACTTTCTCACCCTCAGGAATAGAATCTGTCTTAACTGGGAAGACATAAAGCAAACAAATAACAACCAGACCCAAAAAAAACGAAATGTAAGACAGATCAACCCATTTTGAAAATATTTGAAGTTTGGGTTCCATAATTTCATTAACATGAACAAAAATGCAATATATTTTTTAGAGCACTCATTGTAAAAAGCAGATTATGCATCACAACACGAGCAATTGCCAAAATAAATTACAGTTTCGATGCATTCTATATAGCAAATTACGAGGGATATAGCAGCATACTACTTTGTCACAAACAACCCAAAAGTTATTTTCTCTTGTTCAATCAAACAACCAATAGTCATGATACCACACTTGACTAACATTAAAAAATTTCCCATGGCAAAGACCTGTAATTCCACATAATTATATAGTTGAAGCCAAGTCCTTTGAAGCATCACAAATCACACAACACAAGAAACGTAAAATTGCGGCAAAACCCACCTATTTGTTGGCAACTACTTCATTTTTTAACTTATGCATACTCAACTCGTACAGGCATTTCATCAAACAACATATAAGCATCCCAGAAGAAAAGTTATCGACGACGAAACGCTGGATTCAGAAACATGTAAGTCGGTGTCACTTGTACAGGAATTCATTGCGAATTGAAGAAAAGGAAAAGGAAAATAGCAATCAACTGGATTGTGATAAATAATTACAATAATAGAAGTCTCAGAAACTTTCATGGAAAATGGGAGTTATTGGAGGGAACATGATATAAAAAGAAGGGGAACATGGTATAAAAATGGGAGTTATTATTTATTTATTTATAATTATTTTTTACAATCTATACTGCACTGAAATTTCTCCCCAAATGAATTCAATTCGAGACTTATATTTTGAGAAGTAGATTAAAAACCAATTTATTGGTTTTTAACTGTTTTTTTGGTCATATCACTCCTTTATTTTTTTACACATTTTTTAAAAATTAAAATTTTAACTTTTAATTTACTTTCTAAAATATGCTAAAAGTATAACTAGAATAATAGTTTATTTGTGTTTTAAGTACATTGATTTTTATATGATTATAAATTAATTACAAGCTTACTTTGTCATGTTTGTTTCGCTCTTTAAAAAGAGAATTAGGCTAATAATTTGTGACATTCACTTAAATATGTTTGGTTAGAATCAGGAACGGATCACGTGAAGACTGTAAGTGGGCGTGGCCCATGTGCTATTAGCTTGACTATAGTGTGTAATCTCTTTTCTTTTTTTTCTTTTTTCTTTTTTCCTACTATTGTTTCCTATGTGAGTATGTGTATTGGTCCCAAGCTTTTCTTTATTATGCCTTTTTATTTTTGATAATCCAAGCGCTCTACAGATTGATTGTCCTTCGTCTTTCTAATTGTACCTACAACCAGTCCAGTAAGAAGATTCTGAACTGGGGATGGTTCCTTTCCGTGGACCCTCCGACGATTAAGTTAGATGAGGAAGTAGTTGAAATAACAGTTGTTTAGAAAGAAGATTGAGAGTAGAGAGAGTGAAACTAGTTATAAAACAAACATTCCTCAAAAGTTTCCTTAAATTTTTTACTAATCATTTCCTTAGCCATTCATGTTATCCCATTAACTGAAACCCTGCAACCTACTCACCATCAGCCATGGTGCTTTCATTACGTCCTAGAGCGAGAGGTTTTGTTGCATTTAACGTTTTGACAATCTCATTTAATGCTTGGCGCGTGAGTTTAATAACTTTGAAAAATCTTGTTTGCTAGGTAGTTAATTCCCTACTCGACACGTGTTTAGTTGTAACTAGGTTTAGACCACTATGTGATCAGTTCTTTGCTGGGCTTCCTGTTGTGTCTTATTTCCTGCGCTTTGTAGTGATAACTAACCAAGTAATTATTTGGACAGCTCAGGGTAACTATGGGTTGGACCCTCATGGGCTATGGTCACAACTTTTAAACAATTCATGATCCCTTCTCTTTCTTTTGTCTTTTGTAATTTTTTTCTTCTTATATTTCTCTTTTCTTTTAATTTTTAATTTTTGTTTTTCTTTTGGACTTATCTCTTGATTGCAAGTTACATGTCAATTTTTTGTTATAAACTCAACCATATGATATTTAATTTATTGTCATATAATTATGGGTAAATTATGAATCTTTAACATTATTCACATTTTTATTCAAGTTTTGGCATTCCGAAAGACAAAAGTCTGGTGGTTTCATCCCTGCTTAGGTATATGAGGTGAGGGGATTAGCTTCCCCTTAGATTAGTAATCCCCCATTAGTAAGACTACCAATCCTATAGAGGGGTTGTGATTAAAATTGAGTGAGGGAATTAGTGAAATTTTAAATGATTCTTAAGCAAATTATATATTTTTTAGAACAAAAAAATAATAATTATAATATTAAAAATAAAAAATATTAATTTTTTATATTAATATCATCTATAATATTATTAATCCGATAGTGTACAAACAAATACTCTTTATCCTATATCTTCAACCTAATATCACCACACAAATAATCTCTTCACTCAATCTCACCGTACTCTTAATCTTCTTCATTCTATAGAGCAAAACAAATTTGAATTTAACCAATAGCCAATAATTAATAAATTTCACGCATTTACACTAGTTTATTTATTTATTATTTTTAATTCACAGTAAAATTTCCTTTCATCAATAATTTATTAATTATATAAATAAAAAAATATTATTATCATCTCTTTTGTATTAAATATATTTTTTTCTTACGTGGAAATTGGTTATTTTAGTTTTTTTTTTTTTCTAATGAAAAAACTTACAAAAAAAAATAAAAATAGAGAGTTATGTGATTAACTTGCAGTAGATTTTTGATCAAAAAGCAAAGTCTCCAAATGGGGCCTTATTTTGGTTTAGTTCATTGCACTCCTTTGGCATAGGAGTCTTTTGGATTTTTTGAATTAAAATAATCAAAAAAAATAAAATAGATTAAAAGTTAATAAGACAAAATATCACATTTAAATCAGAATTATTTCATTTTTTTTCTTAAAAAATAAAAAAAAAACAAAAAGTCAATCCCAAATAAAAAATTTTGGCCTTAAATTAAAAAAGTTAAAAAATCAAAAAATCAACCCACTTCTCAAACGGAGCTGCAATTTGCATTAGGCTGGTCAATCTAGCATTAGTAAATGAGGGTGTAATTATGTTAAGATTGTAGGATCGATTATTTTTGTTTCAATTATCAAGAGAGATAAATATAATTTATCCTTGTAAAATAAAAATTATATTTCATAAATTTAATATAATTATATAAATTTCTTACTACCATTGTCTATACAAAAATCATAACCCCACCGCCATCGTGAGAATCACTACTCTATTATCACTTGCCACCACAACCAATACCATTGCCGCCACAACCACAATACCACTTCACCACCACCATCAACGCCACATCAACCTACCACCACCACCACCTTACTATTAGTGATATCACCACCACTCATGCAATCATTTACTCAGCTATTAACACTATCAGGATGTATATGAATTTTTAAATGGTTCATTACTAACTTGTTAAATAATAGAAATTATATAAAATTTAAACTCAATTTTTTTAATTGGAAATTTATTCCTCCACACAAAACTTTAGGAATTTCACTTAGGATTGATTTAAGAAGTGTTTTTTGTTTTTGTTTTTTTTGGAATAAATCACAAATACACTTCATGAGGTTTGTTTAAAATGTTGATTGTCCCGGTGGTTTAAAAAATTATAACTTACAAATATCTTTTTATCAGAATTTTTTATTTAATATAATCGACTGAAAAAAATAAAATTTTTAACTGTTCTTCTATATAATAATAAAATTACTTAAATTATTAATTAAAATAAATTTATAATATCATTAAAAACTAATAGTTAACTTGATATTTTATTAATAAAATAAACAATTTGTTATGAAATTATAAATTTCAAGTAATATAATTTACAGAATGAAAGAGATAATTTGCATTTTAAACAAACTTGAAAGATTATATTTATAATTTATTTTTATTTTTTTTTCTTTAAAAAACTACATTAAACAATTGCCAAACATTCTCTTGTGTAAAAAAATTTATTTTGTCCATATGACAAGAAGCAGCCAAACCGCCGCAACCAACCAGGACGAGTTGGGCTGCTTCCCCAGTTGTCCTTTGCCGTATTTAGGTGGGTCACAATACTTTGAATCCTAGATGACTTCTGTCTCCGTCTCCTTCTCTCTTTCAATAGTAAACTCCTCTTCCTCCGCATCCCCTCTCTTCCTATATATCACTCTCAAACCCCCCCTCCTCCTCCTCCTCTCTCCAAAAACCCATCAACAATGGCGACTTTCAAATCCCCTTCAATGTCCTCTCTTCTCTTTCTTTCCTTCTTCTTCTTCTTCTTCGCCTTCTCATTCGCTCTCGACATGTCCATTATCAACTACGACCAAGCCCACAATCTCTCCGACTCCGAATCCATGGCGATCTACGAGAAGTGGCTCGTCAAGCACGGAAAGGCGTACAATGCGATCGGAGAGAAGGAGAGACGGTTCGAGATCTTCAAGGATAACTTGAGGTTCGTTCAGGAGCACAATGCGGTGAACCGGACCTATAAGTTAGGGTTGAACCGGTTCGCCGATCTGACGAATGAGGAGTACCGGTCGATGTTTTTAGGTGGGAGGATGGAGATAAAGAAGAGGCTGTCGAGTCCGAAGAGCGATAGGTATGTGTTTAGGGCTGGCGATAGGTTGCCCGAATCGATTGATTGGAGAGACAAAGGGGCCGTGTCTCCTGTCAAGGATCAAGGACATTGCGGTAATTTCCCCATAAAATCATATATACATTATGTATATTTATAAAAAAAAATTATGACTCAAAAAAATTAAAATTATGCTATTTTTCATTTTAATTATAAGAAGCATATGGGTTTTTTTTCAACAGATATGAGTTTTTTTTCTTCCATATATTTTAGTAAATTAAAAGATTCCATTGTCTAAGTTAGGGTGTCGGGCACGTATCTATACATTACTCAATAGAAACACAGCATATAAACCCAAGTGGGTGGCATTGTGGATTAGGTTTGGGGTTTAAGCCCCAGGCTCATAGGTTCAATTCCTTTTTTTTGGGCCAATCTCATAGGCGAAACATAACACAGTTAGTTAGGAGGTTGGACCTCAAGCTCTGTAACACAATTAGTTTGGAGTTTGGAGGTTGAATCTCAAATTTTCTAATCAATACTTGACGTGGATTCAAAAAAAAAAAAAATTCAAAAAAAAAAAAAAAAAACACAGCATATATGTATATAGTATTTGTTTTTGATTCATGTTATGCTTATGAAATTCTAGTACAGATGTGTAGATCATTCGATTGATTAATTTTTATTGCGTGAATTTAGAAAGATGAATGAAATCATGAAAATAGACTACATGGCGAGCCCACAAGGAGTCCCAACATAATGGGGCCTCGGGGACTGGTCTGTTTGTTTGTATGGAAAATTGCTCTCTTTGGGAGAGAAAGTTAGGGAAAAATTGTTTTGTTATGGGAGATTAATACATTACATTAACTCTGGTTAGGTAGGCATCTTCAATTATATATCAAATTTAAAAAATCGCTAAGAAAAACCCTTCATTCCTTTTCCAAAAGTTAAGTTGAGTTTTGCTCAAATCAAGGGTGAAAAAATGTTTACTCAAAGAAAATAGGATATTTTGTGGCTCTCAAATTTAGTACTGTCATTATTAAGCTTTTACTCAAATATATGCTTAAATATGAGTTTCTCTTTTGCATCAGTTCTTTGCTTGCCTTGAATTTCAAGCTTTCAGGCCTAGTATGTTCTGTCATTTTCAAGTAAAATTATATATTTTTTAGCACTTTTCCCTCCTCTTTTTATTACATTCACAAAATTGTTATAAATCATGGTATAAGCAAAAGTTAGGTGTAGCAAGACGAATTTGAATAGACATTGGTGATATAGATATAATATAGTGATTAGCTTGTCCTTTGATGCCAATCTCGGATGTGATAAGAAAGAAAATCCAGAGGAACAAAACCCAGAAAAGGAAATTGGAATTGTTATGTATTTATCTATCCAAAATAACTTTCTACAGTCTGTACCATATTATTTTTAATTAATTAATTGTGATCATGAAGGGAGTTGCTGGGCGTTCTCAACAATTGGTGCTGTGGAAGGTATAAATCAGATTGTCACAGGAGATCTGATCCAGTTGTCAGAACAAGAACTAGTGGATTGCGACAAAGCTTATAATACGGGGTGCAATGGAGGTCTCATGGACTATGGCTTTCAGTTCATCATTAACAATGGTGGCATTGATACCGAGGAAGATTACCCTTACCGAGCTGTTGATGGCACATGTGACCAGAACCGGGTATGTTTCATATAAATCAAACTCTAAAAAAAGAAAAGAAAAACAACCTTCTTGTGCTTTATTTAAACTAGCATTTGTATCTTAAATGCTTCTTTCAGAAAAATGTACGAGTTGTTAGCATTGATGGATACGAAGATATTCCAGAAAATGACGAGAAGGCGTTGAAGAAGGCTGTTGCCCATCAACCTGTTAGTGTTGCCATTGAAGCCGGGGGCAGAGCTTTCCAACTTTATGAATCAGTAATGACTTCATCCTCGAAATCTTTTATTTTCTCTTCGTAGAGTAATTCTCTCCTTAACAAGACATGATTGGAAATTCATCTAAAGAAATGATAACTGTATGTATATAATACAAAACTTGTAAATAATAATAAACTGGACACATTTAATTTCTTATATGACTATAGATGAAAATTGGATGGATGCTAACTAATTTCTTAACAAGCTAAAACAAACAATTCTATTGCTATTGTTATTATTTTTTCAAACACAACATGATTTTTCCCTTTTAATTCTTTTCAGGGTGTATTTACTGGACACTGTGGGACAAACCTTGACCACGGTGTTGTTGCTGTTGGATATGGTACAGAAGATGGTGTAGATTACTGGGTTGTGAGGAACTCTTGGGGTCCAAACTGGGGAGAAAACGGGTACATAAGGTTGGAGCGCAACATCAATTCCATTGGTGGCAAGTGTGGGATTGCTCAAATGGCCTCATACCCCATGAAGACCGGTTCCAACCCTCCTAATCCCGGTCCATCTCCTCCTACCCCAGTAAAACCCCCCACAGTCTGCGATGATTATTACAATTGCCCTGCAGGAACCACATGCTGTTGTGTCTATCAATACAGTAGCTACTGCTTTGGTTGGGGATGCTGCCCCCTCGAGTCTGCTACCTGCTGTGATGATCACTCTAGCTGCTGCCCACACGAGTACCCTGTCTGTGACGTTGATGGCGGGACTTGCCTAATGGTTATTTAGCTTTATTTATTTACTTTCATTGCTTTAGATACAACGAAAAAAGAAAAGAAAATGCTAGCATAAGCATTTTAAAGTCAACATATCTGAACTTTTTCGCCTGCTAATCTAATATTTTTATTTTATGTAACAGAGCAAGGACAACCCGTTGGGAGTAAAGTTGTTGAAGCAAAGTCCGGCTAGACCAAACTGGGAACGCCTGCATGTCCGCGGAAACGTTGATAGTGCTTGAGAAGCTTTGGTTTATTTGGGGTATGGGGAGTGGGAAAGGGGAAGAGATTATTACTTTGAAGAATTGGGTCGGTCTTGGTTGATTGTTTTCTGCACTGCTTAGCGGCAAGAAAGGTTGTGGAGAACAAATGAATCCCATCGGATTGGATTCTAGTACACACCTGTGTGGACCCTGTCAGATTGATTTTATTGTTTCTAACTTTGAGCTTTGTAAGTAACTTCTTTTTCATTTATATTTGTTTAAGAGCAAGAAGGAAAAGAAATTGGGGTTTAAATATTATTCTAATTGCACTTTGTGAACTAGAATGCCATTTGTAATGCACACGGTACTTACAGGTTGATTGTGTATGTGGTTTCTTTCATATGGTTTTAAATGGACAGTTTATAACATATATGAAAGCAATGGCACAAGCAAGGTGTTGAGTGCATTCAAAATAAGATACCAAATTCAATGTTGCCAAAGAGCCTGGAGGGCCACCAAGTTAGGTAAGTTGACTTATACATTGATGTATATTAATGTAGCCCTTCAATCCATAAAAATATATATATATATACTAAGCAAGTCCTTGGTAAATTAGCCGAAAGTAATGAGGCTCCGTTTAGAAACTTGGCTATTTTAGCCTCGGTTTGGGAAGATGGGTTGGGTTGGGTTGGGTTTGAGAATTCAATAAGACAAACATCACATCTAATTCATAATCATTACCTTCTTTCTCTCATAAAAAGTCAAAAAAATCAAAAAATCCTTCCCAAACGAGACCTTTTAGCCTCAGGTTAAAAAAATTAAAAAGTCAATCCTTTTTCCAAACGAAGTGTTTGATTGGGGGAATTAGGAGGGGGGACTATCCACTATTTGGATTGTAATCCAAATAGTGCACCTTATCCGTCGTTTGATTTTTTTTTAGTCCGGCGGACTCCATGTCCGGCCGGACTCCATGTCCCCCATATGGGGACTATCCTGTCCTGGGGGGTGGGACAGAAAGTGGGGGACTAATCACTGTTTGGATTATATGCGAAAATGACCATTTTGACCCTCTACTATTTAATTATGTATTATATTTAATAAAATTCAATAAAATTTAAATGTCTCAATTTAAAAATAAAATAATTTTATTTAACTTTTTATTAATGTTTTATTTATTTAATTTTTTAAAATAATTTTTTATAGATATTTTATTGATGTTTTATTTTAAAATTTTGTTTATGTTTTATTTAATTTCATTGTTTAAATTTAATAGATGTTTTAATAGATGTTTTATTTAAACAATTAAATGTTTAATTTCAACAATAAATAATTTCATTTATTTAAATTATGTTTTATTTAAACATTTAAACATTTGTACATCAACATGTTTATTAAATTATTTCAACATCTGTACATCAACATGTATACTTATTTAACATCTATTAAATTATGTTTTAATACATCAACATTTGATTACATCTACATTTGTTAATTGTTAATTACATCAACATTTATTAATTGTTTAAACATAATCTGTACATCAAAATAATTTCAATGTTAATTGTTTAAATAAAAATTTAAACATTTAACCATTAGTATGTTTAATTTCAACAATAAATTTTTATTTGTTTAAATAAAAATAATCTGTACCAGTCAATTTTTTTTATCAATATTAGTATGTTTAAATATCTTTAAACAAAATTTAACCATTAGTATGTTTAATGTTTACTAAAAATAATTAAAATATTAAAGATATGTTTAATATTGCTATTACATAGTAAACAATTGAAAAAGGGTAAAATAGTCTTTTGTTCATTTATCCTATCCAGTCCGTCCAACAAAACGTTGGATTCACTGAAAATAGTCCTATCCAGGCATCTAATCCCATGAAAAAACAAACACAGGATACATATCCAATCCGACCAAATAGTCCGGGGGATTCACAGTCCCAGGATTCAAGTCCGATGGATTCTAATCCCCCCTTTTTCAGTCCGTCCAATCAAACACACCCTTAGTTGACTATTTTGCTATTTTAGCTTTGTTAAAAAAGTTATATTTAAAATGATAGGTTTTTTTTTCGTAGTTGATTTGATAATTGTGAGATAAAAAATGAAATGATTATGTTTTTAATATGACATTTTATTTTATTGACTATTTAATTTTTTTTTTGGTCTTTATTATTAGTTTAGCCAAACTCGGGCATCCCAAACAAAGTTAGGCTCATTATTAGTAGGTTAGGTGGATCGACGAATTGGACCTAAGGGGCTCTTTGGATTCCAAGAAAATATTGATCGCAGCCGGTTAATAGGGATTTGGAACTTGCATATGTAGATTGATGAATTCAACCCTAAGGGGCTGTTTGGAGTGCAAGAAAATATTGATTGTAACAGGTTAGGGATTTGGAACTTATATAAGATGGAAAGTTGTAACACTTTTGCCTGTTTGTCCAAAAAATATGTAAAAATATTAAGAAAAATGCTTGGGAGCACTAATTAGTGCTCCCACTAATTAGGTGGCAGTGGGTCCCGCCATTAATAATGTGATGTTTTGGTCTTGGAGTTGTATTTTTTTTTTTTTTTACTTTTTTAATGCATTCGTGCTATTAGTGGTGGTGTTTTTAATGTGATGAATCATTGTTGAAATATTAAAATCATGTTGATGAAGAGTGTTGTGTTGCTTGATTATTAGGTTTTTTTTTTTTTTGGCCCTTCTTATCACCCTTCCTATTATTTTATTTTATATTATTTTTGAAAATCAAGTTGGTACATTTGGTAAGGTGTTGGGGACTCTCTCTCACGTTCAAAATCATTGACAATAGTGTTTGGATGGAGGGGGATTTATAAGAGGGAAAAGGAAAGGAAAAGTAGCCTCTCACTGGGGGTTTTTAATGGAAGGAAATGATGTATAAGGGGGAGTAAATGGAAGGAAAGGAAAGGAAAATGTAATTTCTAATTACAATTTTATCCCTATATTTTACAAGAAATGATTTCTCATATCTGTACTATATATTAAGTAAAAGGGGGTTTTTAACCCCCAAGGCCTGTGAGAGTTTCAATATCTCAATCTGAATTTTCTAAATTTTTTATTTTTTATTTAAAAAAAAATCTTAGTATTTATTGATTTGGTTAAAATCTCCTGATCAGCATTTATTAAATTTTTTCAATCTACATGTCTTTCCACATACTTACATTTATTGATTTAGTTAAAATCTCCTAATCAGCATTTAAAATCTCATCATACAAATAATTATAGATACAATCTATGTATAATTACTGCAGTACCCTTTTCAACTTCTCTCATATACTATGGTATATACTATGGTTAGTAATAAGATTGTTAAATTCTTTTTATAAAAAATCTTAAACAACATAATTTATATATTAAAAAAATCTAAAAAAAATATAAAAATATTTATAATTATCTCGTACATAGCACGGGTGATAGGCTAGTTGCTATTGTAACACAAAATGAAATGTCCCTTGCTTTATTCTCCCTCCACATTATGAAAGTTAGTCCCTTTTCCTTTATTTTCCGAGCCATAGCATTCCAAATTTCCCCTTTCATTTTCTTTCTTTTCCTTATAACTCTGTTCCATTCTTGTCTGACCTTCCAAACATACCATAAGACCTTAGAACTTATTTAAAAAATCTTTCGAAAATGATTTATTCTTTTTCACAATGCATATTATTATTGAAAAAATGCCTCAGACCCCAGTGGGGGTCATGAATGGTGGCTTTCCATTGGTTAAAAAAAAATTGTTTTTTTTTTTTTTGTGTTTTGGACAAATGAGGGGCTGCCACCTCACTGGGGTCGACCCCAGTGGGGGTCTGTAGCATAACCGTTATTATTGACATGAATAAAAAATTGAAAATATAGCCTGCATTTTGGTATCATTTGAAATTTATTCTTAACTTCATTTTGAGCTACTTTTATACTTGTCGTATGGTAACAAAAGTCTCGTGTTCAACAACCCTTTAAATTAATTTCAATACATTTATTAAATAAATAAAAAAATGATTTTGCATATAAAAATGTTAAAAATTCTATTAAAAGTTCTACCAAATGTCTCACATATGGATCCCACACCCATGTGAGATATTTGGTAAAAATTTTGAAAGAATTTTTGAGATCTCTAACATTACTCTTTGCATATTTCATTAATTTTTCAACTTTTCTAAGTATCTTAAAAACAATTCATATCTTTCCAAAATTATTAGAACAACCATGGGAGAAGAAATCAGGCTTGTTTGATTTGTATCTCAAGATACAATTTTTGAGAAAAATTTTCAAAAGTTTGTTTGGTTCAATTTTTTTGAAAAAAATTTCCGAAATTACTTTTTCTCTTATACATATGAATTAATTACTTTTCTCTCTTCTCTCTCATTCTCAATCACTTTTTCTCTCACACACATTTATTCAATTACAACAAAATATCAAATCATTCCAAACTCCAAAACTATTTTCAAAATATACAACCAAACAAATCAAAAAAAATTCTTCTCTCTCCAAATTTTTTTGAAAATTTATCTCAAATTACAAACCAAACAGACATGCTTATTTTAACTACTCCTATTATTTTTGGTATTTATTTATTTCCCAAATTATTAGAACAATCATAAAGAAACATCTCATTATTTTAAACCAAATAAGAATATTATATTAAAAAAATTTCCAAACGTATTGAATTGAAAAAATATTTTATAATTTAAACCTCATATTTGATACCTTATGGTCATGTTTGATTCACGAGACTAATAATGAAGATATTATTAATCTCATTAAATTAGTGTGATATTCACTATCTAATTGGATTAGTAGGATAAATTATCTCATTGTCCATTGTTTGATTTGCATTGGATAAGAAAATTTACAACTATATTTATCTTCTTTTCCAATCTTACTCTCTATCAATGTTTCTTCACAATCTTTAATTTATCAAAATTTCTTTATAAATGTCGTTTTGAAAAAAATTATAAATAAATAAATAAAAGCAAAATAAAAATACAAAATACGAATGTCATGTTTGATTTGTTTTTTAATTTTTTTTAAAAATTATAAACTAAATTGATAAAATAAATATCAAAAAATATTTTTAGCTTTTTAAAATATAAAATTATATACAAATAATAAGTATTTTAATTTTTAGTCCAGGGTAAAGGTGTTTTTTTATATTATTTCCTAACTCGATATATACTTTCACCTCTATCCCATTACTAATAATTTTACAAAATTGTTGGATTAACTATCCATTAGATTAATAATCTTGAAAACAAAATTTCAAAAAAAACACAGAATTATTGGACCTACAGATTAATAAGCACAATCCATGCTTTAATCCTGTCAATCAAACGTGTTAAAATTTTTAAAAGATTACAATCAATAATTA